CTGTCACTCACAGTTTCACTTCTGGCTTTTTTGGTGGTCAATTGGAGATATGAGCCTTACGGACTTTCTTGCCCAAGATGGCTTTAAACAGGGATTGTCAGGGCTCAGCCTCTTGAATAGCTAGGATTTCAGGCATGAGACACCCGTGCCCATCTTTTCCTTGTTTTATTTCCTACACTTTCTGTAACTAGGATACATTTTAATTAAGTCATTAATGTTGAATGGAACTGATTTGTTTTAAATTTAGGAGCATGCAATTGCTAGGCAAATGCTCTACCACTTGAGCTATGAACTTAGACTTATTTGCTTTCATTTCCTTTGCAGACGGGGTTTGACATTTTTGCCCAGGTTAGATTGAGATCTGGATCCTCCCCTCCCTTGTAGCTGGTATTACACACATCTACCCATGTATCTCAACAAGATGGTTGTTGAGATAGGGTCTTGCCTTTTTGCCCAGCTGGCCTCATAGAGTGAATCTACCACCACCTTTTGAGTAGCTGGGGTTTAGAGCATGAACCATCATGCTCTGCCCCAAACGTGCAACCCTTTTTTTTTTATTGGCCGATCTTGGGGCTTGAACTCAGGACCAGGGCTATCTCTGAGCCTCTTTGTACACAAGAGCTAGCACTCTACCACCTGAGCCACAGCACCACTTCTGGCTTTTTCTGAGTAGTTTATTGGAGGTAAGAGTCTCATGGAGGGCTGGGAAGATGGCTCAGTGATAGAGCCTTGCCTTGCATGCATGAAGCCCTGGTTTCGATTCCTCAGCACCACATAAGCAAAAAGAAAAAAGCCGGAAGTAGCGCTGTGGCTCAAGTGGTAGAGTGCTAGCCTTGAGCTGAAGAGCTGAGGGACAGCGCCAAGGCCCAGAACTGGACCCCCCCCCAAAAAAAAGTGTCTCATGGACTTTCCTGCCTTGGCTAGCTTCAAACACGATCCTCAGATCTCTGCCTCCTGAGTAGCTGGGATTACAGGTGTGAGCCACTGGTGCCTGGTGGTGCAACACTTTTTTAAAGCTAGTGTTGAGATAGAAGTCCCAAAATATGCTTGTGGCTCTCCCCGTCCATGCAGGTTGCCCTCTGCTGTTCACGGGAGCCTTCAGTGCTCCCCCTTTTCTCCCCCCACCATGGAAAATGAAAACCCAGCTGCTGGGAGCTCCTTCACCCTCTCTGGATCAGAAGGTTTTTGTTGCTGCTGTTGGTCGTGGGGCTTGAACTCTGGGCCTGGGCGCTGTCCCTCAGCTCTTCAGCTCAAGGCTAGCGGTCTACCAGTTGAGCCAATGCGCCACTTCTGGTTTTCTGAATGGTTTATTGAAGGTAAGATTCTCATAGCCTTTCCTGGCTGGGTTGGCTTTGAACCGCGATCCTCAGATCTCAGCCTCCTGAGTAGCCAGGATTATAGGTGTGAGCCACCGGCACCCAGCTTCTGGAAGGTTTTTATTCGGCATTTTTTCCCCTTCTTCCTCCTCTCTTCTGAGAAAGAAGCTTTGGCTGCTGGTATGTCAAGGTTGACCCTTTGCTTTCATTAATGTCAAACTGAAACGCTGCCGAGGTGAGGGTTCCAGGCCTGAGCTTGCGTCTCCGGCAGGAGTAAGGGTGAAGTCTGCAACTCATCTCCCTTGTCCCAAAATCTCAGCGAGGCGGTCACAGGTACGGGACAAACTGATCCAAGTTCTTTTTTTATTTTAATTATTTTATTGTCATTACAAAGGTGATACACGGAGGGGTTAGTTACATAAGTCAGGTAACAAGAATATTTCTTTGGATCTGACTTTTAAAAAGAGAACAAAAGCCACAGGACAGTGCTAAGATCTGCCTCTCTACCTCCCACATCTCCTTGTGTTCTCCCTTCTCCTTTCTTGTGTTGATTCCTTCCTCTCCTGGGTCTGCTCACCTTCCCTGGGTTCTGCTTGCCCGCTTACAGACCACCCGTGGTGCTTCTGTGAAGGTGAATTTCCTCCCTGCTGCATATCGTAGACTTAAAGGGTCTGTGGAGCAGAGCACCTCTGGAGGGGCTCACTGTAAGCCCGAGCGTCCCACAGCTCCTCGCAGTGGAAGCCACCACCTCCCCACCCAGAGGACAGACCCCCCTCCCCCCCAGATCCTGCCCGTTCTCCACCACCCCTCATACAGACAAGTCACAACTCTGCTCAAAATACTTCTTTCCTTCTTTCTGCCAAACCCAGAAAAGCGAGTATTGTTTCCAGGAGAGAGGGAGGAGGAGCGGGTGTGCAGTATTTGTACAACTTTGTGACTCAGTCCATCTGAATTCCTAAGCATTTTAAAAGCTTTGTCCCAAAAGGAAAAAAAAAAGGTCTATTGTATGGCTCTTGGCAGTGAAGAAAATAGCAAGGCTGGCAGAACTGTGTCAGAGTGAATTTTCCAGGGGGTGATGTAACCGCGCTGTCCAATGGGGAGGTGGGCTGCTCATTTTCTTGTCCCTGCTCATTTTGGAGTGGTAGAAATTTGACTGTCAGAGTCAGCGTATATTAAGGTGCTGAAGCATCTCTTTCATTCCCTTTTCTTTCTTTAGAGATTTTTTTTTTTAAAGTAGCATACGTTAGTTGTAGGGATGGAGGAAGGATTCAGTTGAGATTTCCATACTACAGTGAACCCATTAACTCCAGCCCCCTCTCATTCTGCAGTATCCTCCTTCTTAAAATGTCAATGTTCTTTTTTTTTTGGTTATGGGGCTTGAACTCTGGGCCTGAGCGCTGTCCCTTAGCTCTTCAGCTCAAGGCAAGCACTCTACCACTTAAGCCACAGTGCCACATCCAGTTTTCTGGTGGTTTATTGGAGATAAGAGTCCCACAGACTTTCCTGCCCAGGCTGGCTTTGAACCGCAATCCTCAGATCTCAGCCTCCTGAGTAGCTAGGATTACAGGCGTGAGCCACTGGTGCCTGACATGTCAGTGTTCTTGTATGTGTGTGTGTGTGTGTGTGTGTATTCACGTGTGCGCGTGCATGTGTGCACATGCACATGTGTGCAAGATTGTACTGTACCACTTGAGCCATAGCTTCACTCTGGCTCTTTGCAGGTTAATTGGGAATAAGAGTCTCACAGACTTTTCTGCCTGGGCTGGCTTCAAACAATGATCCTCAGATCTTAGTTTCCTGAGTAGCAAGGATGACAGGTGTGAGCTACCAGTGATCAGCTTTAATGTTCTATTCTGACATACGAAATGTCCTTTTTCTTCTTCCTTATATCCTCTTAATAAAAAGGCATCATGAGCTGGGTGTAGGTGGCTCACACCTGTCATCCTAGCTACTCAGGAGGCTAAAATCTGACAATTACATATTGTCAGTTAGACAAATCCCAGACTCTTAGCTCAGTTAAGCAAAAAGCTTCAAGTAGAGGCAGGGCCCTCCATGACAGGTTGCTTACTATGACAGACGTCTGTCCACATGAACTCTCCAGTTCAGTGCTCCTGTAGCTAAAACCCAAGCCTTATCCTTAGATCTGCAAACTAACCCAAACTATAGCCTTCGCCAGAACTTTGTGGAACCTTCTAGAATATGATTCATTATTGCCAAAGAGCATGTTGAAGATTTGCTCTGTACCCTCCATCTTCCTGTGGGAGGGTAAATTATCAGGTAGGGTTAGGTGGTGTTAACTGAGAGCTTTATTTAAAAACAAAATCAAATGTTTGCAATTCAGGCATATAGATTGGTAATTTTGTAGTCTTAGACGTTGAACATTAGTATAATTATCATTATTATGATATATTATATTATGATATCATCATCATCATCATCATTATTATTCACACAAGCTGTGGGAAATAAGCATTATCTGACTAGATGCATGCATTAGTGGATGGAGGGGAAGCGAGAACTGGTTACAGTTATGAAAACCACAGGGAAATTCTCTAAGGTGTTGGCCCAGGGCTGATTCTCTCACATTCTGAATTCTCCCTAGGCATTGATATAATTATCACTAAGGCAGTTAAGTCCACCAAAGGATACTAGGCAGACTTTAGAATGGAGCTGTCCAGTAGAAATACAAGGTAATCCAAATATGTAACGTTAACTATTATAGTAGCCATATGAAAGAGACGAAAAGAGAAGTAAATGAAGTCAAATCCCATTATGGGATGTCAAGAGATGGGACCAGGTAGAAGCTTCAAGAGGTGATTAGGGCTCTGTCCTCACAAGTTGATTCACCTCCTTAGTCAATGGCTGAATGGGGTATTTCGAGAGTGGATCTTTTATGAAAGCTACTTTGGTTACCTGCCCTTCCCACATGATTCTCTGTGCTGTCTTGAGACTGTACACAAGAAGTTACCACCAGGTGTGTCCCTTGACCTTGATTGAGAACTACAAGGTCAGATAACCTCTTCTTCCCCAGTCTTCCACAGAACTGGTCAGGCTGACCTCATGAAGAAGCCTGTGGCTCTGTGCCCCGGAGCATGGCCTCCCTAGCCTGCCTCCATGTTAGTGGAGGGCCACTGGTATCCTCTTGACTCCCCCAGACCTTTCTTACTATTCCTTAGTGTCAGGCCTTGTGGAGGGAGAGGACTACAGCGAGGCCTTCCAACTCCACAGGACCCACCTTCCATACCAGAAATCAGCCAGCCACACTCACCCAAATTCCTTTCTGCCTGATTTCATCACTGAAAGTGGGCCAGTGATATAGGGCTACCCATCAGCCCCCGGGCAGCTCTCAGTGAGCCTTGGTCTGTAGCTCCCATGTCTGGTGGAACTAGCCATTGGCTCACCCTGTCTTTCTGAAGCGAACATTGATCATTTGGTTAGAGTGGGGTACAGGCCTCTTGTAAGTCAAAGAAACCACCACTAGGCATAACTCTGGTAAATTGGTCCTATTACTTACCATTTTTCTAACAAGGCTGGAAGGGTCTTGATTGTGGAACACACAATCTTTTAAACAGAAGAGGGAATGATGGAAAGGTTCCAGAACCTGGGGCTTTGGTCCACAGAAGGCAGCTCTGGACACTAGAGCTCTGAGTGTAGGACCAATGGAAGGAAGCAGCTTTGGTTTACCTGTGGCTTGGCCAAGGCTGTCTGTGCCTTCAGAGTCCATTGTTGAACTTCTAGCATTTCCCTTTCGGTCTTCCGGCAAAGCGTTGCAACTTTCTCTTAAGCTTTGGCTCACCCCACAGCTCCATCTCTGTCTCCCTCTGGAATGGATAAGTTCCAGATTAAGCCCCATTAAGGTGACTGACACACACTTGGCCCTTATGGTAAGCCAACTTATTTACTACCTATTGCTCATCTCCAGCTTAGATGTACCTATTACAATGTCCCAGAGCACTTGAATTGTCAGCAGACGGCATCTCCTTTGCTGCTGGCTGAAACCTTCTTCCTACAGATTAAACAAACTGTCTTATTTAATAAGTGATCAAAGCTTGGCTTTCCTTTGACGTGTGGTGCAGGGAGCCATGTATTGGCCAGGGTTGTGAGGGCTCTGTTTATTTCTGTCTACCTGGCACTCCTGGGCCCCTGCTAGCCCCTGTGAAACCATGGAGAAGGAATGGGCCATGAGCAATTTCCCTCCCTGCAGTGTAGATATTTCTACCTGTGGTTGTCTTTGGCTTCTTATCAGAACATGTCGTTCCATTTTCCTTGTTTCTTCTTCTTACTTCACCTGTTTACTTTCATCTGGACCTGCTGGGGAGATAGCAATTGTTATGGAGACCGTGGCTACAACAGATTGGGGCTCTCCAGTCTCAGGCAGCCTGGGGCTGGCCTCTCCCACACACCCTTGGAGAAAACATGTGCTTTAGGGTAAGAGCAACAAATTTGACTGTGTACAGAGCCGGTGCAGGGCAGAGCAGTTGTTACGGATTTCATTATGTTTGCTACACAAAAAGGTGGTGTTGGAGCTTAGCACGGTGGTACAAGGCTGTAATCCTAGCTAATAAAGAGGCAGAGAGAAGGTTGCAGTTCAAGGCCAGCCTGGGCAAAAGAACTCTGAGACTCCATCTCAATCCATGCTAGGTGCAGTGATACATGCCTGTCATCACACCTATCTGAGAAACACAATTGCGTACTTCTGTCATCAGCTACAGGGGAAACACAAGTAGGAGAATCATTAGACCTCAACCTTGAAAATAACTGATGCAAAAAGGAGCTGGAGACATGACTCGAGTAGTGGAGCGCCTATCTAACAAGCACGAAGTTTTGAGTTCAGTCCCCACTATTGCCAACCCCCGCCCCCGCCCTCAGAGAAGTCTTGTTGGAGCTCTGACTCTTGGTGCCAAAGAATGTGGCCATATTTGGAGATGGAGTATCTGCAAAGGTAATGAAGTTAAAATGAGGTCATCGGTTGGGCCCTGATCCAGAGTGACCAGTGTCCTTACAGAGAGGAAAGTTGGACACAGAGGCAAACACAAGGGAATGCCTAGTGAGGATTGGAGTCAAGCTTATTGCCATAAGCCGATTGCTCCTAGAAGTTGGGAGTGAAGCTGGGATCTGATCCTTCCCTAGAGTCCTCTAAGAGATGGCCTCGCCCTCCTCCTAGCAGAGAAGGGTGAAGCAATCACTTCCTGTTGTGATGGGAAAGCTAGCTGATCTGTGGCACCTTGCTTAAAGCAGCCCCCTACGAACTCAGATCTGCAGAGGTCTGCGCTCTTCACTGTAGCTGCTCGGCCACTGTTCTCCAAGAGCCCTGCTAGAAGTGTCATTAATACCATTATTTTATAAATCACTACCTGTGGCACAAAGGTTAAACAGTTCACTCAATTCAGATAAAGTAATAAAAACGCACTTTGGTCAATTCCATAATAATGATGAAGGTGCTGCTGCTGCTGATAATAATAACAACAATAATAATAATAATCTTTTTACTTTTTTGGTGGTCCAAGGAACCAAACTTTTCATTTGTTATAGTTCTAAATATTTTTGGGCCAGTACTGGGGCTTGAACTCAGCGCCTGGGCTCAGTCCCTTAGCTTTTTCACTCAAGGTTAGTGCTCTACCACTTGAGCCACACCTCCATTTCTGGATTTTTTTGGTGGTTAATTGGAGATCAGAGTCTCACAGACTTTCCTGCCTGGGCTGGCTTTGAACTAGGATCTTCAGATCTGAGCCTCCTAAATAGCTAGAATTACAGGCATGTGTAACGTCTGTATGGAGTAAAGAAAAATTAACCTTTTAAGTTATTGACCCTACTGTTTATCTTCACATTATCAAATAAAACGTAAGAGTGTTTAACTTGAGAAATCACAGAGGTGATATAATTTGCATTGTGTGTGTGTGTGTGTGTGTGTGTGTGTGTGAGTGTGAGTGTGTGTGTGTGTTTCACTGAAACAGTGAAACAGATTCACCCATTTTTATTTCATTTTTGCATATTCTGTTACCGCTATCTGGTCCTGGCTTACCAGGGTGTCAGGAGGACCCCACAGAATCATTCTCCTTCCTCACCCCCAGTGTGAGTGACTCCCCTACACAGGACAGAAAAGGAGCAAGAGAGACAGGATGGCTGACTTTGGCCCTGTTTCCTAGCATGCCATTTTACCCCCCCCCTTTTTTTTTTTTATAATGGAAGCAAATTCTGCTTTTAGCAGGAAAACCTGTCAGCAACTCACCAGCTCCCTCGCAGACATAAGGTTTCTCCTGTGCTTGCTTTGAGACTTAGCTAGATTCTAGAATCCTGGAGATTCCATGCTCAGGGCTTCATGAACACTCCACAGAAACAGGGTGGCCAGGAATGGCTGTAACTCATACATAGGAGTCTCTTCCGTCCACACACACGCTCTATGGCTCCCTTGGATCACCAAGTTTAAAGATTAAGAACAGCAAGATGGTGACAACAGATCATTAAGCACAAGGTTCACGGGAGTGTGAGGACCTGTGGGACTCTCCAGGTCCTACCAAGACCCATGCACTCCACCTTGATGCCAGCCCCTCCTCCCCTCTCCCCCCTGGGCTGTACCAGTGGGAGTCCTCCCCCTTTCTTTGTGGAACTCCATCTCTCTGAGTCTCTCCATGAGAAGCCTTCTCCTGACCAGTGTCAGTGTCCCCTTCATACCTGCTTCTGGAGCTCCCGCCTGCCCTCAAGTTCAAGGGCAGACTTCTCAGCAAAGCAATTCTTATTCCAGCCTCTGTGCAAACTCACATGCTGCAGTTCGGCTGAGCAGGACATGGGAAAGCTCCTTCTCAGCCTTGGCCCCTCTATCCCTGGGGCCTGAGGCCATTTTACCTGGTCACCCTCTGCTCTTCCTAGCTATTACCTCCTTCCTGTAAGGCTTCCTCCCAACTAGGGTTGGTCAGCCCCGCCCCCAGGTACCCTGCGCTTCCTGTGTTACAGCGTTCACCTGCTGAACTGCAGTAAGCCCTTGGCTTTTTCATGCTTAAGGTCAGGGCCAATCCAGGCCTTGCTAAGGGAGAGCAAGCCAGTCCTTTGGCCCTCTGATGGCATTTGCCAGTCATTCATCCAGAGCCTCGCGACTCCAGGAGCCAAGCTTTTCAAGTGCTAGAAATACTATCGTGTGGCCTCCAGTTTTTCCTGTTTCCTCTTCAAGTTTATCAAGTAGGAGCAGCTGGTTTTTTAAGGCCTGGCTTTCCTTCCCCCGACTCTACTGACCGCCACCCTGCCTGGCTTCCAGACTCTGAGGCCTGACTTCCTAGAAAGGTAGTTTCTTTGCCACTTTACTACTCCCTGAACAGTTCCCCTCCTGCTCCCCCTCCCCTCTCTCTCGCTCCCCTCCTCCCCTCAACCCTGAGTACATTCCATATTCTTATAACAAGGTATACCGAGTAGGAGAGGAGGTAGTACACGGTCCCTCCTATTGGGAAATTCTGCCCCAGGGACTTACATGCCACACAATCAGCTGAGGAAGTGGTTGGACTAGAAGTGCAGTTCATTAGGACATTGCTTGAAGGAAGCTTCTCGAACATGTATTCTCTGTTAGGCACATTACTGTTTTTCTTTCTTTCTTTTTCTTTTTTTTTTTTTTAAAAAAAAACACTGGATACTTCAACGCCGTACTTGTTTATTTTTTAATTTGGATTTTGTGGGTTTATACGTTGGACTTTGTATTTGCTAGGCAGGTGCTCTATCACTTGAGCCAAGTCCCCAGCTGTTCGTGTTTTATTTTTCCAAGCAAGGATTTTTGCTCTGGCTAGACTGAATCTCAATCATTCCATTGATACCTCCTGAATAGTTGTGATTCCAGGTCTGTGCAACTCTATCAGCTTATGAATTGAGATGGAATATTGCTGACTTTTTCCCTGGGGTGGCCTTGAGCTACAATCCTCCTGATCTGTACTTCCTGAATAGCTAAGGTTACAGGCATGAGCTTTAAAGTTTGGCCTTAAGTGGCCACTTTAAACAGCAAAATCACCACCACCTCCACCACCATCACCACCACCACCAAAACAAAAATATCAAGAATCAGTAGGCCCACAGAAAGGACCCTTGATTATAGGGGTCTTTGCCGATCTCACCTGGGACCATATGCATCACAGAACTCAATTTTCCCACCACTCTGCCAAGAGAGACTAGAAGTGTGTTAGGAAGATTACAAGTACAGAACTCACAGTCAGGGAGGACTTACTGAACTAACTCGGTGAACTTGGGGTCTGAGTTGCAACTTATCCATCCAAAAGATGGACAGGAGCTAAGACAAAAAAAAATAGTAAAGGTTCCCAGATGTTGATAAATAGAGGAGAGATGTAATTATTCTGCCACATGGCCAGCACCAAGTATGGCAGCACATAGGGAACAGGAGGCCCAAGACCAGGGCAGTTGAAGATCTGGGCTGGCACAGGAGGGAAGGGGAAGAGGAGAGGGAGTCTCCAAGAGAATGAACACAGTGTGCTCCCCAGGCCCTCTCGCAAGGCCGAGTCGCTGGAGCAGTTGAACACTAGCCATGGGTGAGCATGCCAAAGAATCAATTACAGGTGCATTAGGCCCCACCTAATTACGGTGCAGGCGCCGTATTTCTTTACATATACTGACTATGAATCGGGCAAAATGCTCATGTGAAATCTATGAGTCAGAGCAGGGTGGCTTCCCCAATGCCAAGGTATCAGGGAATGTACTGCCTGACCCTCGTGGCTTCCCGGGACAGACTGCTCATCCACCCTCCCCTCAGCATGGCCCTTTGGATGACATTACCTATATCTCTTACAAGCCTTGGAAACTTCCAGATGCTGGCTTTGTTACTTGCTTAGAGAGTAAAGCGTGTTCAGTCAGGATCACAGCCAGCCTGTCCTGTTCCCACATCCAATTCTTTCCATCTTCAAAAATAGCTTTTGGAGGGAATCTAATTCTCCTCTTTAAACATCATCATCATCATCATCTCTAAAGTTAAAAAAAATCTCATGATTATGAGCAGTGAAATTACTATATAATTTTCTAATTAAGTGAATAAGGCACAAAAATACATGCCTTCAAGTCTTAATTTGGACCTTGAACCTAGCACGCCAGCCTTGATCATCCTACACATCCTGGAAGTGGGCAGAGGTAAAGAGGAGATGAAGGCTGTTTGGGGGTGAGTGGGGGAGACACACCTTCCGCCCCCACGTCTGGGTTCTGACTCCGCTGTTCGTCCAGGTTGGTCAGTGACCTTGCGCATTTCTGAGAGCTTTTTGTTGTACTCAGGGAGACAGCCCCTAATTTGGCCATTTCCAAGCAGAACAGATGGAGTGTAGATTTCATATCTGAATTTTAAGTGCTGGTAGAAGTTTCATTAAGTTATCAAATGCACCGGGATCCAGGATCCAGCTTCATTGCCAAGTGGCGCTCTCTGGAGTTGGGGGATTCCAGCATCCCACAGAAAAGAGAAAGGGTTTTGTGTAGATGCTGGGGAGGCGGGGAGGGGTTTGATCCGGTTACTTTTATGCTAATCTAATCCAGATGGTGCTTGATGAATAACTTTCTAGGTTTGGTACCTGGTCACCGAGCAAGGTGTTGATTTTCATAGGGTTTGAAACATTTGGATAGAAAAAACACTGAGGAATGTCTGCCTAGAGCTGGTCAGAAGCAAATAGGGAATGCAAGCTTAAGGAGTATAATTCAAGAACAGCAGGTGATCTTTAGAGTAACTTTTTAATTGATTCGTAGATTCATTTCCTTCTCCTTTGCTCTCTTTCTCTCCCTCCCTCCCTGCCTTCCGTCCCTCCCCCTCTTTCTCTTTCCAGTATTGAGATTTGAACTCAGGGCCTCAAGCTTGCTATGCAGGCATCTGCTGATGAGCCATGACTTTAACTCTTGTTCTCTCCTCTCCACCCCTCTCTCTTCCCCTCTCCCTGCCTCTGCTCCTCTTTTCTCCTCCTTTCCCCTCCCCTCTTCTCACAGTCCCTCTTTTTTCCTCTCCTCTTCTGTCCTCCCTTTCCCTCTCCTCTTCTCCCCCTCCCCTCTCCTCCATTCCTCTCTTATCTTTCCTCTCCCTTCCCATTTCCTCTTCCCCTCCCCTCCCCTTTCCTCTTTCTGCTCACCCGCCCCCCATCTCTGTCATCCCTCCATATCTAAGGTTAGTTCTAGATTTAAACAACAACAAATTGACAATATTCGGAAAGCTTTGCACATGGAGTGAACATGTTTTTCCCATGTATTTCTTAACTAATATAATAACTACTTGCATAGCACATACCTTGTAGTAGATATTAGAAATAGTTTACACAAGAGGATTGTGAGTTGGCCATATTCTATGCAAATGTTATGCCTTTTGAGACAAGGTCTTGCTGTTTTGCTTAGGCTGGATTCAAATTCGCTGGGTAGCCCAGGATGACCTCAAACCCAAGATCCTCCTGCCCCTACCTCTTTCTTTTTTTTTTTTTTTTGCCGGTTGTGGGGGCCTGAACTCTGGGTCTGGGTGCTGTCCCTTGGCTCTTCAGCTCAAGGCTAGCGCTCTACCACTTGAGCCATAGTGCCACTTCCGGCTTTTTCTGCTTATGTGGTGCTGAGGAATCGAACCCAGGGCCTCAGGCATGCAAGGCAAGCACTCTACCACTGAGCCACCTTCCCAGCCCAAGCCACCTTCCCAGCCTTGCCCCTACCTCTTGAGAGCTGGGATTATAGACATGCATTACCACAGCTGGATTTGTGCCATTTTATGGTAGTAACTTGAGTATGTGCTGGGGTTCCAGGGAGCACAATTACCTGAATGGTTCCTTGTTTTCAAGTGGTGTATGATTGTATGTGGGTAGCATCAATGCAGCAAAAGTCCTCTTAAATATTCATGGATATTTGGGGACAATTAATCAATGGACCAGTATGCAGAAAGAGAGGAAGGAAGTAATGAGAGAAAAAGTAACAAGATGAGGAAAAATTGGGTAAGTGACTGTTAAAAACCAACATGAAGACAAGAATTCAAAGTCCAGAAGAAATGGATAAAAAGCCTTTCTACGGGTGGAGATGGCACCCGGGAGACATGTGGCATTTCAAAACCTGTAAAACTATTTTTTGCTCAAAACATCGGTTTATGATCAAATGTTAGCAACTTCCAGGGTTATTTTTTTTCCATAGAGAGACATTTGGGAATATTTTTAATTCCATATACATTGAAATTCTTTTAAATACTTCGGAAATGATAACCTGCCTATATGGGAAGTTGATTTTGTTTTACGCTTTTATAAATAGGATTATTTATTTTGTCTTACGCTTTTGTAAATAGGATTATTTGATTTTAAAACAACCCAACAGAGTCATTGTAAAAAAATAAATACCTTACTTATAATCCTAGATGTCAGGAGGCTGAGATCTGAGGATTTCAGTTCTAAGCCAGTTTAGAAAGGCAAAGTCCATGAAATTCTTTTTTTTTTTAATTGTAAAGGTGATGTACAGGTTGCAGTTACATATATAAGGTAATAAGTACATTTCTTTTCAAACAGTGTTACCCCCTCCTTGTTTTCTCCTGCTCCCCCCAAGTTATAAAGTTCATTTCCAACATAGTGTCTACTGATTACCCCTGTTGCATTCATTCACCCTTCGTTCAGCTGTTTCTGTGATTTCCCTTCCCTTCCCCAAATCAGATAAACTTATACACAAAATAGAGGAAATCAAAGACAGTGACCACAGGGAATAAACCAGAAGCAAAAAAATGAAAGAAAAAAGAAATAACTGCAAACAATACACCACAAACAGAAAAAACAAAAACCTTCTTGTTTCCATATCTTAGTGAAGTTCTGAACTCTAAGTAACCGCACATAAAGCCAGAAGAGAAGCTGTGGCTCAAACAGTATAGCTGTAGCCTTG